ATCTTATTTGGATAAATGCTAGAAAGATTGGTTCTTCAACAACGTATTTGCTATTGGGAATATTTTTAGAATGCTTATCTCGATTATGAAAAATTAGGACCGGTTTATTCACAAACAGATCCTACTCAGGCAGAAGAAACTTCGGTACTGATTTGCTGTTTCTTTGCCATTTTTGTTTTATTTCCATTCGAAATGTAAATAATTTTTATTGGTAATTGCCAAGTTTTAGTCAGATGAAGTAGAGGCATCAAGCCACGTAGAAACTTCTGGATGCCCTGAGAGTGAAGCCGAGGAAGACCAGAAAAAAAATATCGGAAAAAAGAAGTCTCTGTCAGAGCAGCTTGTTGAAAATGATAATGTGGTTGGATCTTTGAAGACTTTACATGGTAAACTTGCCACCGCAGATTTGAATCTGAAAGCTCGGAAACTTGAACAAAGCATGTCACAAAAAGAAAGAGAAGAGGTGATCGTTTTTTGGGAAAAACGTTAATAACCATTGTGTCAACTTCATTTTCTTGACAGTTTATGAATAGTAATTGTTTGATCATTATTTTGAGGTTTGAGCGTCCTTATTTAGGAGTTTATTCACAATTTTTAATATAAAAAAAGATTTTAAGGAGGCTTTGATACGTAAGAAGCAGCTGGAATCAATTTATACATTATTAGCTACGGATAAAGAAAGATTTGGAGTCAATGATGAGGCAGATGTTTTTGATCAAATGAAACTTTATTCTTTTGGAAGATAGCATTAACTTTATTGGAGATTTGAAAGCACGAAGGTAAGAGTTACTTTAACTTTTTTTTTAAAGTTTAAGTTTTGTTTATTAATTGACATTGTAATAGCGTGTCACGCCCTTCTGCTGTTTTTTATAACAAGCTATTTCTTAAACGTTCTTTTTGTTACTGAATAAAATAACCTCGCATAACTCCTTTGTTTTTCACTACTTCACAACTTTTTGATACTTCCTTTGAAAACTTGCACTGAAGATTTATCTTTTTGACATTTTTACTAGGTTTGTTTTTTTTAAAACATAGTTTTTTCGGTCAAGTGACAAGATTTTGGAGTAATTTTGTACAGTGGATTAACTGTGCTTTTTCTAACACAAGATTATTTCCTTTTTAATGATAATACATTTTTGTCACTTTGCTAAATGATCACTTGCAAGTTGTTGTCAAAAAATGTACTTCAATTCTATTTGCATTTGCTGCGTAAATCAGGTGTAATTTTTTCTTTATAAAGACTTGCGGCGGAGTAGTTTGTTGTTGAACGTAGAGTGATTTGCAACTGTTATTACAAGACGACTTTTCAGAGTGTAAGTGTGCAGAAAGCAGCTGCAGCATGTTTTTATGAAAGAAGGAGCATTTTAAGGTTTTAGTTTGCGCGAAGTTTTTCTTGTGAATGAAGAGGTAAAGATGACTTTCAAAGATAATTGTCTTTTATAACATAAATTATTCTCAATTTTGTCTCAATATGGCTCTCTTTATTTAATGGAGATATTGAGAATAAAATTGTTAATTTTACTGAAGAACAGTGTTCTGGAGTTACACTTCATACTTTGAAGTTATTGTTTTGCTGTTGTTGCTGATAGAGGATGAGTTCATGGTGATTTAAGTGATCGGTTATGTGGAAATCTTCAGCATATTTCAGAGCTAACACTTAACTTAGGGAGTGAAGAAATTTGTTCAGGCACGGCCTGGAAAAAACAGTAAAATATTTTTCATCTAATTTCAAAGTCACTGAAAATTTTGCGGATAGATTATATTTTTAATAGACAACTAGTTACAATAAGTTTATAGATTTTGGAGCGGCCTGATGAGAACGCAGAGTATATGGTACGCAGAAGCAGTGGTGGGTACAATAAGCATTACATGTGAAATCAGTTTGGATTTTACGTGTTTACTTTTGGCTTGCTTTGTTACAACTAGGATTGTACTTTTTGATGGAAAAAATTTTTGAAGTAAAAATAAAAATTTATTACAAAGTGAAATGAAATAATAAAGTGATAAATTTTGGAGGTTGCCTTTGCTAGAGGACGGCTCTTTGACTTTTTTCTACACCCATCTGGCAGTTACCATAAATCGTAGCTTAGCAGCATTAATCAAAACTTAGTCGTAACAAACTTTAAATTTGCTGAAGTATTGTTTGGCTACTAAACTACACCTTAACAGGTAGTGATCAGAAATGAAATTTGTTTGGTTTTAGCAGCTATCATTTCACTATTAATTATTTGAGAACAGTCTTGTTACGTCACTGGCAAATCTTTATATTACGGTAGCGTGAGAGTGTTGGGAAAAATAGGTATTTAAAGCTATTAAGTAGTGGTTTATAAGCCGTAATTACTAATGGTTCTTACAGTTGACTAGGTGTCTAACAATTATTTGAAGTAAACTGATGAGTTCTTCCTAATGTCAAGCAAAATTTCTTTAAATGTGTATGTTTCTGCTGATTGACGCTGCCAAATTTGTTTGTTTGTTTTTTTTTTGGAAAATTGTGGGGACCAAAAAAGGCAGCTTTTGAAATGGAGGATTGAAAAATTAAAATTAAGGGTTCATTTGCACTACAGTAAGACAACATGGGTTAGTGAACAATGGAAACTGAAAGGATTGCAACTTGACGTTTTTGATCTTTTTTTTTTTTTGTTTTACGACTTTTGTCAAAGCAGTAGCTAAGTGAATACTATATTTTAAATTGAGCGAGTAATCGCCTTAGATGTATACTGTTATAAAAGGCAAAGGTGCGATGTACTTGTTCTTGCAAGCTGTAGCCTTCTTTTAAAATTTGCATGGGTAGAAGGCGTTGCAAGAATGCTTTTTTTTTATTTTTTTTGCTGACGCACGTAGACATTTTCTATGGTATAGCGGTTGGAATCTTTTGTTCTACTGTTAAAAAACGATATCTTAAAAACAAATATTTCAAGTTAATAGATTCTTTCTAAACTAATAATAAATAAATTTCTTCAGTGGCTCCAACCTGCAAAGTTCATTCTTAAATCTGCAGTTACGTAGTTACCTGCTGCTCTTCAATGTTTCCTCACTTTACCATTTCCATCTGCAGCCGCATACAATAACAAAACGCAGGTTTTTAACAGCTAAAAAATTAAATCTTTATTGACTGGAGATTTGGCACGTTCATTTAAAGCTCTGCAAGATGACTTAAATCTAAATCGCAATTAAAATTAGTAAAATTAAAAAAGTAATATCAAATTCCGGCTAGTATTTTTAGATTTCTTGTCGTTTGTACATTTCAATAAAGCTGAGGTGAAATTTACAACACAGAAATTAGGAACGCTGAAACGAAAATCAGCGAATAGCGCAACAGTGTCAGTGGTAATGTGTGAAACTGAAAAGAAAGCGTTCCACGTTAAATTATTCCAGTATCTTAGTTCATTGGAAAAAATCTCTTTCTAAATGGAAAAATCTACATAGGTTCTTTTTTTATGATAACAAATTCAACTGCTAAAAAAAGTTTCAGATTTTTTAAGAGCTATGCTGGAATTGTAAATGGTCTTTCTGTAAAAGACATAAGAAACAGTACATAAATTAGAACGAGACAATCTTCAGCTGACAAGAAGCACTGGAAAGATTACCGGACATAAAATCTCGAAGTTTATAGATCATGATTTGCCCAAGATACGCGTTAATTGAATTTATCGTTTCGCTGTACCAGGCATTCTCGAAGAGCAGCAAACAACGAATTCATTAAAATACCGTGGCGTTGCGTTCTTCTTTATTCAAGAAAAGAATAAAATTTCAAACATTCCAGGAGCTCTTCTTCATCGCCAATTCCACAGCTGTCAAAATCATTCGCAAATAAGTCGTAGGCATCTTTAAGGTTTTCTTCCAGAAGTCCACATTGCTGTAAATGCTAAGTTGTACAATCAGAACTATATAGCCTTATAAGCATTCGTCGAATTCGCTAAACACCATTGTTGCTTCTAAAAAGCATATACAGTTTTAGATTTCTTACCAGGCTACTAAATGTGAGTTTATTGTTCACATTCTAAGTCATCACTGCGCTTTAAACAGTTAACGAAACAATAATTCTAGACTCCAAAAGCAAGAGTACCTTGAAAGAAGTCTAGAGACTGTACACTATGAAGCTAACTTTCAAAGCTTAAGAAATAGCGGTCAAAATGAATAAGCCCTTAATCTTCTGTGACAGTGTGCCTATAAGTTATAAGTTAATAGTTCAAATTCCCTACAAACTCCCTATTTTCTCAAGTCCAGTTTATCGGAAACAATTTGACGTATAAAAAATGTAAAATCAAACTTAAAAATGCTCACTGCTTTGTTCATCTCAAAATTAATGCTTTAAAACAACCTTAAACTCAAAAAAACAAAAATCAAAGTTTGCAATATTTAAGCATGTCTACACTTCTGAAAAGCAGAAACGCTTTGAAGATAATGACTCAACCTGACAGATTTTATTATAAAGAAAAGCAGTAGAGTTTTCCTGACTTGATTTGAAAGAAAAAAAAAAGAACAACCATAACAGTCAAATCGCAAAAAGCACAAAAGCGCTAAGACCGATTCAATCTGAAGAAGTGAGATAACAACGAATACTGATAAAAAAAAAGTCATCAAACTTTTACCTCAAGGCAACTGCGGTAGACATCGTCATTTTTCAGCAGCAGATCGACAGTAGCAAGAGCACCGAATAGTTTTCCGGACAAAAATATGAAATTGTTTTCTTGGCTCGCTGAGCCACGAAGTAACATTTCTGATGATTTTTTTAAAATAACTAGCAAAAATAGCGGCAACAACAGCAAAGTGTTTTCGAAAAATAAATATTAATATGAAATGTTCAATCTGCTAAACAAAAAAGTTTTTAAAGTTTTGAAAATGATGCTTTTTTATTTGTTTAACTTTGTAAAACAAGGAGCTGTTTAATTCAGATTCACTTACTATTTGTCTTCAAACGATGCTGTCAACAAAAATTAATAGGCATTTGTTTGACTACCAAAGAACTTCTGAATCGTAGATAATGGAATGGTGCCATAGGTTACTCAGACTGCCAGTCTCTGCACGAAAAAGTAATGTTAGCAGTTTGTATAAATTTTGAAAAGTGAGCAAGCAGCACTTTTAGCACTGCTTTATTGCTACAGATGTTTCTTAAAATATCTGTAAACAAAGCGCAAAAGTTTAAGTAACTATTAAATTATGTAAATATAAAAGAAAAAAACATCTACTTCTTCACAGCTTTTTTTATGAAGTCTATTAAATAAGTTTGATCATAGTTCATTGCTAAGTAAACTTCAGACGAGCTCACTTTCTTTACCGACAACGTTCTCATAATGAATCACAAATATCATTAGACTCATCTTTCTTTTGTTTTGTTGTTGTGCTCAAAAATCAACAGAATGCTTCAGAAGTTTAATTTGTTCATTGTCTTTATCCTAAAAAAAAGTGCGATAGCATTAAACAATAAAATGTGGCAAAAATAAAGGCAGCATGGTTTGTAAGCAAAGATACGTATCACGTTTATTGTCACTTTAGTCGTTCACCAACTCTTCGTTTAACCTTTGTTG